GGGCAGGATGTGTCAGCCGGGGTGATTTCCTGCCCGGGTGACTCAGCTGGGGCCAGGGCCCTGTTTGCAGCCACGCCATGGCAACCCGCGGCCACAGACCGCCCTGCTGCTTGCGGCCCTTGCCAGAGATGAGCCCACACGTCGCTGCCTCATGCAGATTGTATGTGATAGCGGGGATCTCTGCCCGCTCGGGCAGCGGCACGGCTTCCTGATGTCACCTCGGCCCAGCCCTGCCCAGGGAAAGGTGTGGGCTCTCCTCCTGGGAAACTACTCCTCTGCTCCCTTATTTTTATTATGTGGTGTGTTTTTTTTAACGCGTTTATCCCCGTGGAGCCGCAGGCAGGAGCCAGCCTGTCTCCCAGCCAGGCCCCGGGGGTGCACGGCTGCTTCCCACGCTCCCTGCCACCAGCGCGGGGCAGCCAGAGCTCCTGGCTCCTCTCTTGTCCCGCAGCAGCCGCGGCTGAGCAGCCATCAGAGCAGAAAGCAGCTGCCCTCCCTGACCAAGCAAGGGAGGCTTTGGCTGGCCGTAAGCATTTCACATCCAGAGCAGATCAGGCAGGTTTCTCCGCTTCCTATTTCAAACATTTCCAGCTCCTTTCCAACACACTCCCAGCTCTTTTTATACATGCACTCCCTCCCCTTGCTGGGACACCAGGTTAAGCCAGGTGGGAAAAGGCATGGCCTGGCAGCAGGGAGAACATCATGCTGGCAGGAAGGAGCAGAGCATCACGAGGCTCATGCTTCCACCAGCTGAGCAACCCACCCGGTTGCTGAGAGGATGGTGCCTTCCAGACCAGCCACCCTGGGATCTCTGCTGTGGTAGCCCAGCCATCAGCATGCTCAGAGCAGCCAGCTCAGGTCACAAATAGGCATCTCCTTGCCAGAGAGCAATGAGCTCACTGTCCTCACTGGTGGGTGCACAGGGTGCTGGCATTGCTGGCGTGGCCAGCACGCATTTAGCATGCTGAGTTGCATCATGTAATAGTAACAGATCACTGGGTCTCTGAGAGGGACCTTAACAGCTACACAAATGCCCTAGTGCAGGTTTCCTGGACACTGAATTAGGCTGCAACAGGCCTGTGTGTGGGTTGTAGCGCCAAAATTCAAGGTCAGCTCCCAGCAGTTGGATGCTTACTGTGGGCGTTGGCGTTTCGAGCCCTCTGATGCAAGGTCTGTACTTTCAGTATGATAACTGAATTGGAAGGATTAGGCAAAAAAGATCTGAGATCTCACAATTCTCTGTTCTCAGAAGTTTCATCCTCCCTCTGCCCTCTTCCCCCTGGGCCTTTAACCCAAGACTCACCAAAGAAAAACAGAGGCCTTGGTGTGAAGCTCTTATACCTTCCCCTTGGAAACTCTTCCCGTTCCCTTGAAAATAACAAGAGGCATGAAAGTAAACTGCAGCTCTAGTGCCTGATGCCAGCATTTCTTCTCTGTCTCCTTGCTGGGGAAAGACACCTAGGACCTGATAAAAGTCTCCAATGTCTCCAACAGTGGATCATCAGCACCAGGAACAGGGTGATGGTAGAAGAGCCCGTTCCCTCCTTGCTCCCTGATTAAACCTCACTCTCCATTACCATGATTCATTGTCTCATCTGCTTCTCATTACCTTCCTTGGCCATCTCCCTTACCCAGAGCCTCTCCACCTTCAGTATGTTCAGCTGCTTCAGTATTTGCTGGGGATATTGTGCCCCATCAGGAATGAGGTAAGAGCCCTTCTTTGCCACCTCTGCAAAGCTGTTTCCGCTGGTGAGATGGGGCTTCCCCAACCTGCTGCTTTGCAGAGCTGGACTGGGAAGCCCCAGCTTGTTGTATGAGCTTGCAGAGCTCCTGCTGCCTGCATAAGCTGACAGTTCCCCTTACCATTGCCTGGTGAAGAAAGCAGGTTTCTGAGGTGTTTCTGAGGGTAGGCATGAGGGTAGATTTCTGACAATAGGCACTTTCTCAGCCTCAAAGATACCAGAGCTTTTTGAGCTTAATACAAATCAGTCTTTAAAATATCAAAGTGGTGGTGAACTGAGTACCACCCACCTAAGAGACCAGCTTTGACCCCATAAAAAGCAGATACCCGGCAGCCACAGCCCCTGTGCCACACTTCCCCTGCCCTGTGACCTCCTGTCCCTGAAGGGGACACAGCTTTCTTTGCAGAACCACTTCAGCAGGGAAACAAACCGCTGGCCTGGCCGCACCCAGGCTGCAAGGACTGTCATGTCCCCGAGGGGCTGGAGCCTGCATGGATCAGGTGTCACACCATTGTCCCCATCAGAGCTGGCAGGGGAGGGCTGGTAGTCCCACCAGCAAGTCAGTGAGGCAGCATTGAATCAGACCCAGGGCCCCCCAGCACATCAGCCCAGAGGTGAGCAGCTGCCACGGCCACACTGCCAGGACACAGCCCTGTCCCCAGGTTGTGGGTACTGCTTTCCTGCTCCTGGGGAGCAGTGCTGAGAGCAGCACCCTGCTGCCTAAGCCAGGCTTGCCAGCTGTGGGCTCAGGGACACAGCTGTCCCCTGCTCCAGATAAAGGTCTGTCCCATCTGTGCTGGCAGGAAGATGCTAGAGGACAAAGCAACATCTACACCTCTTAGAGATCAGATGAAAGACCCCCAACCCTTTTCTGTACTCCTCTCCGTTTTACTTCTCTACAGAAAACCACAGAGCCAGGGTGGGGAGCAGTAGCAGTGCAGTTTCTAAACCCAGCCTGTTTCCTGTCCTTTGCCAAAACCTCTTCTGCTTCCCTACCCAGGGCGTTGGGACTCACCCAGACGCAGCTGCCAGAGGAACAACGGGTGATGTTGTTTGTTTTCTTGTCACAGTGATGAAGTGTTTATAGCAACCAGCGCTCTGCAATCCACAAACTCCACTGATCTCATCCCAGAGCTTCCGAAATAACGGTAGAGGAAGCACAGCCCCTTCCTCCAGGGTCAGCTACTGTGGTGGTGACCAAAGCAGCAGACCTTTGTGCTGGGCATCACCATGCTGGAGATCACCTGACACCTTTTGCTTTCCCAGACAGGCATCTCAGGGCTGGGGCTGTGCCCTGACCCCCCCTGCCATGGCAGTGATGTCCCCGTGGCTGCTGGCTGGTGACCAGGCAGGACACAGGGGCTGCCACCCACCTCCCCAGGTCCTTCTCTCTGCCTTGAGGAGTGGGAGCAGCCAGTGGGGCACACCAGGTTGGCATCCCTGGGCTGTTCCCCAAGAAAGCTGGTATTTGCCCTGAGCATCCTGCTCCCACCATCTCCCTTGTTGCAAGAGCAGCACAGCCAGGGCATCGCTGCACTAGGAGGGAAGGGGCTGTCCTTGCCTCTCCCTACCTCCCACCAGGAGCATCTCATACAAGCTGCTCTGGAAGCCATGCTGCTGCCTGTCTGCACAGCTCAGGCTCCAGGCCAGGGAGATTTACTGTTGAACAGAGAAAAGGTGGTGCCTGCTGACAGCCCACCTCCCCACGCCTCGCTGTGCATGGAGCCCCTGGCTTGGGTGCGGATTTCCTACCCAAATGAGATACAGCTGCTTTTGCTTCCTCTCCTAAGACCAAAGTAAGTTTTAACAAATCAATTTATCATGTATTTTCTTTGACCAAGGCTCCTTCTGGATGTGACCTGTGCCTGAACTGCCCAACCCCACAGCATCAAGGCTGCAGTAGGCCAAGAGCGTGACTTGTACAAGCACAGCCCTCGGAGAGGGGAGTATTCTGACATCAAGTGCTAGGGCTAAATGCAATCTCAGTGGGAGTGTCTATTGCAGGGCAGGCAGAGGAACAGGACAGTCAGAAGGAGCTTTTTGGGAATCAACCAAGGGCTTGTCCCCCAGAGCTTGGTTGAGCGACCCCCAGTTTTTAACTCTCTCACACACACACACACACACAACCCCAGCATGGAGAGAGGCTGCTGCAGGACCAGGTTTAGCTTCTTTGGAGGTTTCCTGAGGCTGCGCAGAACTTGCACAGTTCCTACATCACTCCATGCACCCAGGGCAGGGACAGTCATCCCCAGTCACCACACCTACATCACAAATGGGTGGCAGGGTGAAGCAAAAGGCAGCCCTGGGCAGCACACTGCAAACAGCAACACACTTGCCTCTGCTTTGGCTGCAGCTCCTGCACACAGAAAGAGCTTTCAGCTGGAGGGTTGGATCATCCCAGCTCTTCCACAGGCAGCCCTTGTTTTTACATACCTCTCACCAGTTTCCTGCTTGTCCCTTCTAGCCTGGCTCCTTGCACCTAGAATTAGCTGCTCCTGAAATGTTTTGGTGCTGGGCCCGTTTGGGAAAGACCAGGAGGTCAATTCACAGGTCCCTTTCCCAGCTGGACACACTTATGCAAATCCAGAGGATAATGACACTTGTGTTTGCTGTTACTTTTAATGCTGAGGGTAAACAGTTTCACTGGCACTCACAGCAGCTGAGGCTGTATCACTAGTTTGCTTTGAAGCCCAGTTTGCAGATGAAAGCCATGTCCCCATTGCACCAGGGACAGGCTGGGGGCCAGCAGTGGAGCAGAGCAGGACCGTGTCTTCCTGGCTAGGAGCCACGGGTGCTGGCAAGGGTGGGAGTGGGAGGGCAAGGCGCCTGGAAGGCTTGGTTGAGGCTGAGCAGCAATAGTCAGGGTTTGCCTTTGACACAAACAGTTGAGTTTGTTGTGTTAACTGGGTGGGAGGGGAGGCAGAGCCAGCTGGCCAAGCTTGTCCCACTGCAGTGTGCTTAGTGGGTGCAGAGCCTTTTGGCATCAAGCACGTGGGAAGTTTTAAGGTGCTTATCAGATCAGGCTGATTTTGACATCAGACAAGTATCTCTGACCCCTGATGACTTTTTTTTGGCAAGGCTGGGGCAACAGTGAGATGTAGAGCGGTCTCTAAGGAAATGCATGCATAAACTGTAGACAAAAATACCCCAGTGCATTATGAAGTATCGCTGAATATGTAAATATGGTGGTTCAGGTTAGGGTAAGACATGGTTAAGAAACTATTTGAGAAGCTTCTCTCATGTTGACATCTTTTACATTTGGCAGTGCTGTTCTTCCAGCAGGGCAAAGAGCAAAATCCCTTGCGAGCCAGTTCTCACTTTGTAGTACTGTACCTTTGCTTTCCCCTCACCAGTAACCTCTGCCTTAATTGGCTTTTTCACGTGGCTACTCAGAGCAAAAGCAGCAAGTACCAGGTTTTCCCGATGTGACAGTCACTGGCCTCCCAGCAAGACACCTCCCTGCCCCACCTGAGGGCTGCAAAGTGCTATCTCATATCCAGGAGCAAAGAGATGGGTGCCACCCATGGGGCATGGCTTTCCAGCAGGCAATGCCAGGGGCTGGGACACGGCCAAGAGGCTGTTGAGCACCAGGGAGACCATGGCTCAGCAGTCTCAGACCCTTGTCCAGCAGCACTGCACACCTCTGCTTTAACCCCCTTACAGCCACAGGCAACAAGAAGTGGCTCATGGCAGGACCCACCATGCTTTCAGGCTACTGAAAGTGGACCTTCCCCCAGAACTCAGGAAGACCAAGCACAAACATGACCCCCACCACCCCCTCTTCCCGTGGGGAACGCTCAGCCCCGATGCCTGCAGCACCTGGGGGCTGCTCCTGTTCTGCACGGCACAGGCAGCCCCTGGGTGGACAAATCCCTGTGCGTATCAGGAGGAAAAGCTCATGGAGCCATCACACAGTGTGAGGCTCAGTACAGAGGCCATGTGGGGTCCTTAAGAAAGGGGCAAGCACTTCACAAACGATGGGACCCCACCCTTACAGACAGCACAGCCACTATGTGGGGGAAGCATCTTTAAGTCTGGATTTATTAAAGATTGAGAATACAACTGTGGGCCCAGCCACAAGAGCTGGGTGCCAGAAGCAGGGCTGGGTTTTGGCTGGAGGGGTGCACTCTCCTCTCCAGGTGGTCTTCAGCAATATTGGCCAAATTTCCTACCCAGGGGGGTGTCCCAAAACCCCGACCCCAGCAGCACTCCATCTGGAGCTGAGCTCCTCTCCACACCAGCCCTAGCCTTGGTTACTTATTGCTTTTAACATGCTAGTCTAGTACAGAGTGAATTAAAAACAGAAATGCATGTCTGCTGCAGTGCCTTTGTGCTGTCTTCAGGCTGTGCTGGGAACCTTGGCCATCAGACCTGGAGAGGGATGGAAGAGAGGATGAGGTCAGGCTGGGCTGGGAGTGGAGACATCCCAGGGACTACAGTGCTTCAGGACAGACTCCATCTTTGCTGACATGCCACAAAGCAAAAGCCTTTGGCGTCCGCTGCTGGAGCTAAGTGGGTGCTGATGGTCACTTGGAGCTGGTGGAGAGGAGGAGCTGGCACCCAGCAGGTTGTTCCTGGGCACCAACGTGAGGGCTGGGAGTCCCAGCCAGCCAGGTGAGATGCCACGGTGTGCCTGCCTTCCCTGCCTCCCTCAGAGGGGACAGCCCCGGCCAGCCGGCACAGCAAGAGGCAGGAGGGGAGGTCTGAGGGAAGGCACCAACCTGAGGTTTATTTGAATGTGTGGCTCTCAGCTCCTCCCCGGCCAAACCCTGGAAGAGAGACAGAGCAGGATAAGCGTCTCTGCAGGACACAAGCGCAATGAGGGGTGCACCTCGCCAAGAAATGGGAGCCTTGAGCCCCTTGACCTCCCTCCCACAACCCCAGCCACAGTGACCCTACCTTTGGGCCCGAACAAGGCAGCATAGCAGGGGTGGTTGCAGTATGGCTTGCCATCATGCTGTGGGGAGGAAAGAGAGAAAGAGCATCAGCCCTTCAGCTCCAATTCTGCCCATCCTACCCCTCCTGCGGCCCCTAGATGTGGGGGACAAGGACCTTCTGGGCAGCAAACCTCACCTCTGCGTGGCCTCCAGATGTCAGGGTCTTGTTACACTTCTCGCATCTCAAGCAGGGCCGGTGCCAATCCTTCCCCAGAGAAGTCACTTTCTCAGCTGCCATGGAAAGGACATGAGTTAGATGAGGCACCAAACAGGTGCAACAAATTGACCCCACTAAGGACATTTTTGGGCACTATTTGCCCAGGACAGGATTTCAAACTCAAGTGCTTGCTGTGTATGCACATCACCGTGCACATCCAGGTGCCCAGATCAGAAACAGCCAGGCCATGCCCAAGGTGAACACTGCTGCACCCATGCATACAGACTGACTCCTGCCTATTTCAAACATCTGGGACTTACCCCCTTCCAACATCAGCCTCAGCCAGCTGGAGCCCAAGCAATCACTAGGGATGTCAGGGCAGAAGGGGAAACGCTGGCAAAGACCAGGGAGGCAAAGCCATCACTGCACCCTGCCAACACAAACCAGACCATCCCCTCCAGCCACCAGTGCTCTGGCCACAGCTGCAATTCTGCACACACCATGGCAAAACAGAGAAGGGCTGGAGCTTGGCCGGGGTTCAGGCACCCACAGAGGGGCCGATGTGCTGTTTGCTGGGGCCAGGACGTGTTTATGGAGAACATGGTGGCTTTTTTAATTGTGGCACAGCAGGGGAGAAGGGTATTTCTGCAGATGCACGTGCTCTTCATATTGGCAGCAGCACTCCTGGGGACTTATTAAGTGATAAAGCAGAGCTTTTCACAGCCACCCCATCAGAACCAGGTCTGAGCACTCCCCCCATGCCCGCAAAAGGATGTCAAGCAAAGGGACCGAGCAGCTGCTAGCAGTGCGTGCCCCAGGGGGGCTCTCAGCTGCCTGAAGCACCTCTTCTGCAAGTCCAAATATGCCCAGAACAGCTTATGCCAGGGACAAGCCGGCAGCTGCAGAGGTGGAAGCGGGGGCAGTGCCCAAATGTCACAAGGCAGCACTGCTGCCATCCCCCAGCAGCACAAAGAGCCTCCTGTGCCCACAGCCTGGCAGGGGCCACAGCATAGTCCCCTAGGCAGCCCCAGGAGCCCCAGCCTGGCCATGGCAGGGCCCTCCCATCACAGGGTCCCTGGAAGAAGCTCCGTGTCCCCTCCTCTCACACAAGCATTTGCACCAACACTCAGGCAGGAGCACTGCCAAGGCTCACTGCAGCAGTGTCCCCCCAGCACTTTGCCACTTAGGTGAGATTCCCCTGGAAAGGTGCTAGTGGCCCTGCAAACCTCATCCTCTGGGCATCATCTTCTCCTCACCCCTGCTCTCTATAGACATGATTTGGCCAAAATCAGCCCAAGGAATTCCAGAACAGGACTGCCAGGCTCCTAGAGCCCTGGCGTGCTGGGGAGCAGGGCTTGCTCTGCCTCTTCTGCCAGTGCTCCTTATCTCCAGACACAGAAATCAGGCTGTGAGCTCAGTCCACTGGCAGCTTTTGAACCCTCCTCAGCCTCTGAATCAATAGAGACATTTCATAAAAGCACCCTCATAAGTGCTGGGCCAAACCCTTCCTTGGACAAACGGTCACATCCCGGTGCCTCTGCGGCCACACCTGTGGGCACAGCAAACCCAGTTTGCTCCAACTGGGATCGAACCAGATCCACAGCAAAAGGCAGACACAGCAATACTTTGGTAACTCCTGGTATCAGGCCACATGGATCATAGGAGGGAGCCACAAACTGTATTGTGCTCTTGCCCACCTCAAAACTTGGCTGCAAGCTACAAGTTCAAGCTTAGGCAAAGAGATGTTCCCCAGCTGCAGCAGCCACATCCCCAGCAGCCTTCCAGGCAGCACCCAGACCAGCCCCAGCAGTTCTCCCCAGGGTAGGCATCACTAATGGATGCAGAGCAGAAATAAGGCAGAGAGAACAGAAGTCAGTGACAGCATTTGGATCCCAGGTACTTCATGTCTGGTAAATTAGTAAGCAGAGAGTGTATATAAGCTGCTCCTAGCAAATGCCTTCAAGTTAAGCTGAACCAGGGAAGTGGGGTGGGCTGGCCACTGGAGACTGCCTGTTCCTGCAGCTGCTGCTGGCAGGGTGAGAGGCTCAACCTCCCCAAATACCCTCAACACAAGACAAGTGAGATTACAGCACCAGAAGGGGCAGCAGCCTGGAGCTTTGGGGTCCCAGTCCAGAGGAAGGACAACCACCTGAAGCTCAGCAGCAGACTGCAGCCCAACAAGGCTTGCAGAAAACCTGCAACAGCAGCTTAAAAATAACAACCCGCAGCTGTTATCTTGCAGTGCTAGACCACGCAGCACAGCCCGCGGGCAACCCACTGACCCAGGAACGTGCCCAAGAGCAGCATTTGCCCTTGGGAAGGTGCTCGCTCACCTGACCGGGCTTTCAGAGCAGCACGCAGCACCGGCCGGGCCTTTGGGCTCCAAACTGGCCCGGGGCTGTGATGCTGGGAAGGAAGTGGGGCTGGGCTCCTGGCTGTGCCCCATGTGCAGGCTGGGGGTACCCGCGGCAGCTGCACCCCGCAGCGAGGCACCTCCTCGCGTGGATTCATAGGGCCACCCAGCCGGGGCACCCCGAGCACCCACAGCGCAGCGGGGGCACAACTTCGGGACACCCCAAAAAACTTTGCAGTGATGCAGCCTCGGGCTACCCACGACCCGCGGCGCTGGGGTGCACAGGGACCTGTAAGCAGCAGGGTGAGCACGGGACCCGCAGTATCGGGGTGCCCAGAGATCTGAAGCCCGGTGGGGATGCAGCACCGGGACACCCCAGCTTAAGCAGCCCGACAGCCCCGCAGCCCCCGCGGGACAGAGGCGGGCGAGGAGGGAGCAGGGAGCCCTTACCGAAATAGACCTCCTTCTGACAGCGGGGGCACTTGGGCATGGTGTCGGCTCTGCTGGGCTGGGGGCACCGCTCGCACC